TAAAACGTGAGGATCGGCGAAGAGCTCTTCGCCTTGCTCTACGGAGTTTGAGAGGATCATTCCGGCACCTCCGGCGCGTTTCACCACCTCCCCTTTCTCAGTCCTCCCGTTGCTTCCTCGGTCGCAGAGGACGATCTTTCGTTTGACTAGCTTTGGTGACAGCGAGCCTTCGGTACAAAATCGAGCGCTCGGGATATTGCCAGCGGTGTTAGCATAGGCGAGAGGCAACGACCTCATCGGCTTACCAGAGTAAAGTGATGCCCCAGTAAATTCCTGGCCATCGCCGAGCTTTATCGCAGTCGGAAATCTTCTATCCATGTAGCTCGCGGCGACTGTGGTGATCCAAGGCGCGGTGTTGCTGACCGAACACGCCCCTCTGCACCGCTCCGAATGCGCAATGCGATACCGTCGCATGTAATCAAGGCCGAGATCCGCCACCTGTAGTGACAGCGACAGCACAATCAACACCGTCGGCCACCGCGCTAGGTCCGACGCGCTCGCCCAGTATGTCCGAGCTTACGCAGCCAAGCGGACCAGCATGCCTTTGTAGCCGGCAATTCTTGCACCGCCTGCATCCGCTAGCAGTGCCCAGCCCGTTGCCAAAAAGGCTGCGCCGGCAACAACACTGCTCCGGCCAGTTGATGCGTGTGGCGTACCAATGCCCCTCAGAGTCTCTCGCGGACCGAAATTCCGTCGTGTCATTAATCCGCCCGCCCGCTGCCTCGTACCCTTTCCAAAAGGCCCTCGCGCCGATGAGCTTCTTGTTGCAGTTGGTTGTCGCAAACATCGCCCCTTCCTCGCAAGTGCCCTTCCATCGGTCCGGGATATCCGACACGTGCGTGTGGGAGAAACTTATATGTTCCGGCCAAATGCCCGTGTCGACAACGCCAATGATCACGTCGGAGGCCAAGTTGGCCTCGCTCCAAAGGCCAACGCCAGGCTCTAGACCGAGGAATTGCGGCGAATGAGTCGTGTGAAGGGCGATCGAGGTGTCGTCGGGGTAAGCGGAGAGGAACCCGTCGACGGTTCTGAGGGACTGGAGGTGGTTTGCTGAGAGCTTTGCGGCGAAGCCCGTGAGGGCAGAGTTGAGTAGACGAGAGGAGTTCGGAGGAGGAGGCGTGGCCGCGCGGCGGCAGAGTCGAGAGGTGCTGTACGGAGTCGAGATGACTCGTGCCATCGCTTGGATCCTCCGAGAGAGTGATCGAGGGATGACATTTTGGCGGTGTCCATGTGAATTATGTAGGTTTGAGTCGTGAGAGAGGGACTGAGATTTGGTGCTGCGCAGTAGAGTAATGCGGATGCACATGCCTGCAAATGAAGCAGAGCAAACTCTGGGTTAGAAAAAAAAAAAGGGGGGGGGGGGGGGGGGGGGGGTGGTGTTGAACGATCAGAACTGAGACAGCTTTTTAGTTAAACACTTCAGGGTTTAAACCAGTTTAATTCTGAATCAGGTGAAGGTAGCTTTGGACCAAGCTAGTTCAGGCTCAAACTGGTTAAAAGGAGAGTTGCCAAAATGACACGAAGGCTACAATTACGATCTAGACTATTGTTTAATTAGTATTTGAATGCTCACCCCCTTTTAATAAATCAATAAAAGCTCTGCTTCCCCCATCGTAATCGTTCTTTATTCTAGATATAATTGTAATCAGACAAGTATAACTAACATCACACTATCGATCTTGATTGGAAGTATCACATTTGTTCTCTAATTTATGAGCTCTAAAAAAGAGAATGGATTAACTATACATAAGCGTGACAACTTAAATCCGATTAAAATGACCAAAAAAAAAAAGAAAAAAAGAAAACACAGACACACATTAAGTACCTGCATTGAGAAGTGGGGGAGCCATGGTGCAGTCTTTGGCCAAGGCAACCAAGAGAATGAAAAACTCCTTATATACACCTCCACTCCTTGTATACACCTCCAAATTAATGATGATGCAGGTCAAAATCCCTGGACAAATAATCCACCAATTCTGAAAATGCCCCCCCTTTATCTCATTTCAATGTTGCATGCGCCCTGCGCAAAGCAGCAAATGCCCAATCCATTGAAAAAAGGGCTGGGGGTTGTTGGGAACTTTTCAAAAAAGACCATAACCTTTACTTCATTTATAAGCTTCAATGTACATGTTGGCATCTATAATAATAAGAACAATAGTGATCTCCCATCTCATTTCTGCTACACGCGGAGGCTAATAATTATTCAGTGCTGCACTAAAATGGGATAGGGCTCTCTGTCTGCTCATTATAGCACTCTTGTTGCTTTATCTCCACTCTTTGCTTTCAATTGCTCCAGCTGAGAAAAGCACAAGCATGACAGACTGCGTGCTGAGAGCCCACAATTGTTAGGTAAACCTGAGACTAGATCCGCACCATAGTGGATGAATCCAGGCATTTAACAAACAACTTTTTGACGATCTTGTTTGTTCTGATACCACCTTGACATTGTCCTAAATTAGCCGGGGTTGGCATCCTAAATTAGTCGGGGTTGCCAACCCGGACTAATTTAGTCAGAACATTAGCAAAATAGTCAGGATTGACAACCCCGACTATTTAGAGACGAATTAAAAAAAATCGACTCGCTTCATGGCCACGTTGCTGACGTGACCACAAAGTGAGTCGATTTCGGTAATTAAAATGGGAGTGGGTCGGTTTTTAAAAATAAAAATTGGATTGAGTCTAAAATAAAAATTTCTTCGAAAAAAAGTTTAAAAAATATAATTAATTTTTGTTCCGACACCACTTTGTTGGATAAATGAAAAAAATATAATAATTTTTGTGAGAAGGGTATAATTGTCGTAACTGTATCACGTGCATTATACAATTTAAAAAGGAAAAATTGTACCATAAGTTGAACGGGAGTATCAAAGTGAAATTTGATTAAAACTTTAGAGTTAAAAAAAAAGAACATTGAAGTATCAAGGTTTGGTAAACTTTGAGATACCAAAGTGAAATTAAGCCTAAAAACAAAGAGAAATTCCTCAGGTAGAATTTTATAGATGCATGTGAAGCAATTGGGTATCATATCAACACTAAGGCTAAATAACACTTGAATACTCCATATTTGACCAGCTTTATATTTAAATATCCTAAGTTGTAAAAAGTAAGACTTTTATATCCTAAGTTGTAAAAAATAGATACTTTAATAACATAATCTATAAAAAATTAGCACGTTAGTACATTCTATTAGTTGTATGTGAGAATATTACAAAGTATATTCTAATGTGATTAGCACATGAAATTTTATAATTGTATTGACCCTATATATTGTCATACTGACTAGTATACCTACCATCTATTTTTTTATAAAATTTCTATGGAGAGATATTTATCATAAAGAGTTTTTTTTAAACAGTGTGACATTCTAGTGGTGGACAACTTAGGGTACATATGTACTATTTTTTACGATTTAGGACATTCAAGTGTAAAGGTTGTGAAACCGCAGAGTATTTAAGTGCCATTTAGCCCCCCCAAAAAGGGTATTTAAGTGTAATTTAACTGGAAAAAGGGTAGTTAAGGCCATTTGGCCAAAAAATAACTAGTATACCTACCATCTATTTTTTTTATAAAATTTCTATGGAGAGATATTTATCATAAAGAGTTTTTTTTAAACAGTGTGACATTCTAGTGGTGGACAACTTAGGGTACATATGTACTACTTTTTACGATTTAGGGCATTCAAGTGTAAAGGTTGTGAAACCGCAGAGTATTTAAGTACCATTTAGCCCCCCAAAAAGGGTATTTAAGTGTAATTTAACTGGAAAAAAGGGTAGTTAAGGCCATTTGGCCAAAAAATAACTAGTATACCTACCATCTATTTTTTTATAAAATTTCTACGGAGAGATATTTATCATAAAGAGTTTTTTTAAACAGTGTGACATTCTACTGGTGGACAACTTAGGGGGTACATATGTACTATCTTTTACGATTTAGGGCATTCAAGTGTAAAGGTTGTGAAACCGCAGAGTA